CTTGGCATTGCATCGTTATTTTAAATGGAACGCCAAAGCTGCAAGATGCACAAAACCAAACATAAAGCATTTTCTAAACACAGCACAATAAGCAGATGGTCCATAGCTATTCACTGTGGTGTGCTTAAAGTGACATTAAACCCTCAGATTTTTTAACATAAAACAATACTGTAATGTGCGCCTTTCTGTAATCCATGGTTGTTTCCCTTCTATTTGCTGCTCTTCCTTTTAAATCCTCATGTCTTCTCATGCTGGGCAGAACTTCTGTTTTGCAGCTGACTACCTTGTCTGAGGAATAGATACACGGTGTCTGTGTGCAGGTTCACAACCTGAGCCAGCACTACAGGAAGAGGCACTCAGCTGCAAAGGGAAGTTCTCCCCCAGCATGAGAAGACATGAGGATTTAAAAGGAAGAGCAGCAAATAGAAGGGAAACAACCATGGATTACAGAAAGGCGCACATTACAGTATTGTTTTATGTTAAAAAATCTGAGGGTTTAATGTCACTTTAAGAGCAAGTGTATAGAAGTGCGTCAGTGCGTTGCTTTGTACTGTAACTCAAATGAATAGAATGCAATGCATCATGTTAGTGCAAATTTTACAATCCTTTACTGCAATGCACAGTCCCCGTTCCCCAGGCTGAGCCTCAGCTGCTGACATACAGGTGAAACTCGAATAATTAGAATATCGTGCAAAAGTAATTGCAGTAAGTGCTGCAAAAGGGGCCCAAACCAAGTACTGAGTACATATGCATGCTGGTACTTTTCAGAGGTCCGATATTGTTCTATGTACAATCCTTGTTTTATTGATTGCATGTAATAATCTACTTTTTTGAGGTTGTGGATTTGGGGTTCTTGGGGTTTTCATGAGCTGTAAGCCATAATCATCACAATGATGACAAATCACGGCTTGAACTATCTTGCTTTGCATGTAATGAGTCTCTCTCATATATTAGTTTCACCTTTTAAGTTGCATTAGTGAAATAAATGAACTTTGCACGATATTCTAATTATTCCAGTTTCACCTGTATGAGCATAAGGCTGGCCATACACCATATGAATTTCGGGAAGTGCTTGATGAACTGGCTGAAGTTTGCACAGTGGGTGCCCATCTGTACCCTACCTTCTGGTATCCTGGGTGAACAGTGAAGATAGCCAATCTGCAAAACTGTTTAATAAAAACGATCTGATTTTTAAAAAAAGATAGCCAATCAGCTGCCATCACTGTCCAAGCATTGTGACAGCAGCACATTCGCCATTGTCACAATACAAAGCTCACAGAGGGGGCTAGACGGGAAAAAAAAATATATATAACAGTATATGGGCAACTTAACATCATGTGAACCACCTAAGCGTGGTAAGGAAATCTGCATAGGAACCACTAGTCCTCTCTGCATTATTACTGGGAAAGGTTTTCAAGTGGACAGCACCCAGATAGGAGGGCCAGGTAGCTGGAAAGGGTAAGAAATTTACAACGTTGCATCTAAGGCCTCATTCACACGAGAAAAGGCCGGCGCGTACAGCTCCGCGTTGCTTGCATGGCCGTATCGGGCAGCTCCCGGGAAGGACAGTTGCTGCGTGTGATTAGAACGCAGCCCCCGTCCTTCTCTATGGAAATAAGCAGCCGTACAACGCCCTAGGCTCACCTCAAGTGCAGGTCCGTACGGGTTCGGGTGTCCCCGGCTCAGACGCAGTCAGGATCTATCCTGTCAGCGTACAAGTACGCTCACAAGCACCCGCACGGACATGCAGGGCGGGTGAGCGTAGGGCGGCGCGTGGCCTCGTACTCCCATAGAGAGGGACGTACTAAAGCCACGCAGCACCTGTCCTTCCCGGGAGCTGCCCGATACGGCCGTGCACACAGCATGGAGCTGTACGTGCCGGCCGATTCCAATGTGAAGGAGGGCTAATTGTGCAATGGGGTGTACAATGCGCTACACAGTGGATGTTAGGCAAGGTGTGCTTTGTGTGCTAAAATGAACGGATATTTAGGGAAAACAAATAAAGTTACACTATAAAATTATTCTGTTATATCTGCTAAATTGTGATAAGACAAAAAGTCACATTATAGATAAAAAACAACTAACAAGGTAGATTGCAGGGTAGCCTTACTCTAAGGAGCAGAAAATATGTATGTAAAACATTAAAAACATCCAAAATAAACCTGCATCTGCAAAGAAGAGCTGATACAGTCAACCCTCGGGCATGGCCAACCTCTTCTGCAGAGAAGAAAAATTGCCCACTGAAGAATCGTGAGTAGCCAATGAAGTGAAACGATAGAACTCCCGATTTGAAAACTTTGATAATATGTTTGTGGACACCTGACCATCACACCTATATGAGCTTCTTGGACATTCAAATCCAAATGATGGGCATGAATATTGAGTTGACCTCCCACACCAACTTCGCAGCTATGACAGCCTCCGCAATTGTGGACATGTATATGGGGTGGCAGTATGGAACTGATTTTGCCTTTGTGGACATGTATCTGGGGTGACAATATGTAACTGATTGTGCCTTTGAGGACATGTATCTGGGGTGACAGTATGGAACTGATTGTGCCTTTGTGGACATGTATTTGGGGTGACAGTATGGAACTGATTGTGCCTTTGAGGACATGTATCTGGGGTGACAGTATGGAACTGATTGTGCCTTTGAGGACATGTATCTGGGACGACAGGATGGAACTGATTGTGCTTTGAGGACATGTATCTGGGGTGACAGTATGGAACTGATTGTGCCTTTGAGGACATGTATCTGGGGTGACAGTATGGAACTGATTGTGCCTTTGAGGACATGTATCTATATATATAGGGCTGGGGAAATTAACGATTAATTCCTCAATTCATTGTTAAACTTTTTGATCGAATAAAATTATTTTGATCGAAAATGAAAAGACTCACCTCTCCGCTGGCTTCCGGGAGTCCCGTCGGAGATCCGGTTACGTCACGGACATCGACGTCACCGGACTCCTCCCCCCTTCCCCAAGTGGCTCCGTCGGCTAACGAAGGGAGGGGGGG